TTTGGACACTTTATTTTTGTTTCCTTTGCTCCAGGGCCTCGTGAGGCCATGCATAAAGCTATACCATAAAAGTATTTATTATCATGACACTAGTATTTGTGTCCAATAACCCTGTAATTGACTTCTCATTTAAACAAAGAATTAATTTAAGTCTACTTATAGTAACTGATAAACATGTTTCAATGACAGTAGAGTCAAACCTTGTATTTTCCCTTTTATGTAAAGGTTGTAACTCTTTAAATATAGCAAAAGGCAACAGTTCATATTTAGGTTGGTTAGAAGAATTTATCTTAATAGGGCAGACAGGTAAGTTATGAGACTCCCCTTCCTTCACATCTTGCTAAACACTCAAGTAACTGGGATCTAGCTGGGGGTAGAGCAGCTGCCACAGCCAGCCATCGTGGCAATGGCAGTGAATTAGTTAGAGAAGTCTTATGTGTGGGGCTCCAGGACAGCTCCAGGCAGAGTGTTGTTTCCAGGGCTGTGCCACCACCGAGGGGGAAGTGAGGGAGGATCTAAAGGGGCCACATAGCCAGGCCAGAAGGAGAAGAGCAGACAGGTTGAAAAACACAGGTTTTATCAATTGCATCTCTACAAAGAAACCAAGTTTGAAGCACAGGAATAGTAGTTTGTGGCTTCTCATGTAATGTTTCACCTATTTTCTCCCAGTTTTTCAAATTTAATGTCCCACTTTCTGGATAAAAAGGACAATAAGAGCTTATCTCTGTCAGCAAGGCAGTAAGATCAGCATTATTTATGATATGTCCAGCCCTACTAAGAAGGAAAGAAAGTTTGGCCTGATGACATGGCTGAGTGTCAGACAGAGATAGAGAATTAGCCATAGCCTACTGATTACGGATTGATACCAGCCATTGAAAGTGACGCTTGCATCAAAATCCTATTCCAGGCATAAGTAAGCTACTCCTTTCCCCCATTACCTGTCAACATCTGGAAGGGTCTCTATTAAGGCGGATTCTGCTGTCCCAAACTCTCTGTAAATTCGGAGGCTTTTTGGGGAGAGAACTCTTCTCATACCCCAATGTTGGTCACCAGTTGTAAGGAATAATAATAAAGAGGAAACAGAATCAAGGTGCAGAGGCAGGGAAGGTAGCAGAGTGGCTCCTTGTCCAAGTGACCACATTTATTTATACCAATGGTTATATTAGGTAATTAGTACCATAACCACATTATTGTTTAGAGTATCAGTAAGGTTGCTTATTCTGCAGTTACATTTCAGTTACAAATATGCAATATTAAGAGCTTTGTGCAGTTCTCAAGAAAGTCCATTGTATGAAGTTACTGTTCGGTGGGCAGCACCAGGAGCACTAGAGCTTTGTGAAACATTATAGTTATCTAGAAAACAAGTTCTCCTATTCCCAGGAATTATGTGCCTAAAATTACAGTCGAAGCTGATAAGAGTCTAGCATGGAGTGCATTACTATAGCAACTGGGCATCCTATGCCTTTGCACAGAAATTTTCCTAGGCACCAAGCATGCAACAGCCATGAAGTCATCAGGGACCCCATTCCCAAACACAGAACCTCTAAATATTTCTGATGAGGAAATTGAGATTAGGAGTAAACACTTCATCTTCCTCACACTTTCAATTGAGTGAGTGGCAACTTGGAGAATCCGATAAAATGGGCTGTTTACTCTGAAATCCTCTACAGATTAGTTTGTTGATGGTAAGTAATTGAGTGATTTCTAGGTAGAAACTTAATTCCAGGCAGGAAGAGAGACAAAAGAAGAGAATATTGCACATGCTCTCTGAGTTTGCACTCTAGTGTGACTACACAACCACACATAAATTCAAGAGTCACGAATGCATGGAACATGCTGTGCAAATATTCATTGAGAAAGAGAGAAATCATATTTAGCTTGAGAACTAAATAATGAGACCTAAATAAGGTCCTATGAAGGAAGAATATAGAGCATTTGGTCAGTGTAAATACTGAGATAGTATGAGCATGGCAGCCTTGAGGTACTGATATATTGCATCATGAGCAAAGCAGGAAGAGTGTGGGGAGAGTGATACCTGATAACCTAGATGGGTAAGAAGAGCTAAAGGCCTCTCCAAGGCATGGCCCCAATAGCAGTCCTGTTGAAAAGGTATTTGTTAGCCATTTCATCTGCCACATCATGGGGAAGTGCTATGAGGTGAGGGGCCTGGTCTCCCCTTATTTTCCCCTTTAATTGATCTCCTCACATTCCCAGTACTCTCTCCTATAAGACTTTTTCCATATGTTACTGAAAATTAACATACCCACTTCATCCCTTTCCCAGAAAACATTCCATGGGGCCTGTTGCAAAACAGAGGCTATCCTCTTCCATCTTCTTAAGACCTATAATGTCCACTTCAGTTTTGTGTTCTAATAAAAATCTGGCTGTCCTTTGAAAACAATGATATTCTTGTCATTTAGAGGCTCTGTGCTTCCCTTTCAACAGGATATTTCTGAGCCAAGTATTAGAATAAAAATATTCCTGCTTTCTTTTATTATTTTAAATAATTTTCTTTCTTTTTCTCCATGTCCACCTATTTGAAATTTGCCCCATGAGGTAGCACCAGCTACCACTTCAATTGGTGTCACTCTCCAGCCTGGTCACTCCCCCTCATCCAGGAAGGCTGCAGTACCAGGCTCACCAGGCTCCTCTGTCTTCTGTTCCTGGTGCTGCCAACATCCTTGAACACAACTGAGATAACATCCTGGCCTCTCCATTCCTGATTTTCTCCCTTGGAAGTATTCCACTTACACCCCATCTGCTTTAAGACCACACTATTGTCCATCACTAACTGTCCAGCTTGAGATCTTGATGACATTGTTCCATCTCTGATTATTGACTCTTCTTCTTATGGCACATATTCTTGATGCTCCTTTTCCAGATATTTCATCCTCATTCAGATTCCAAATGTTTTCCCTTACCATTTTTTTGGTTTTTCACTCTCTTCATGATTGCATATGTTCTTCTTACCCTGATTTCACAACAGTCAAAGAAAAAAAATATTATTACCACTCAGGTACTCCCATGAGGGGATTAATTCACTGATTGGGTTAAGACTCTCATAGCCCAATTGTTTCTCCTCTAAAACTTCTTGCATTGTCTCATCAGGAGATTTTTGGGGACACCTTACATCCAAACCATAACATCTACCAAGGCTTGAGCAGGACTAGGTCATAGTTAGAATAAGGTACAACCTAACTCAAGTGGCTGGAGGAGTAGCTCCAACATGTTTGAGGTTCTTGGCTTAATCACCATCATGACTCAGAAAGAACAAAATGAATAACAGAGTACCTACCACATAAACATAAATCAGCTATATAAATGCAATAATAATCAAATAAATTCAATAAAAAATAGTACAATGCAATGATTAAAGGACTGAATTTCCAAGTAGATTAATCTATATTAAACCTAGCTGGAACTAGTTGCATGGACTTTTAATTTTTTCATATTTCATTTTTGTAATTGTAACTGGAGAAAAAGGAAGCATTTATATCTTAGGGAATACACATAAACTACTCAGTAAATGACCTAAAATATTAGTAGCCAATGGATAATGTTATTATTATGGAGCTTACATAAATACCAGCTGGCACTGTCAGTAAAGGAATAAATGTCATTCATATTTACTGTAAAAAAAAGGAGTCTCTCTGAAAACAACTTCCCAAATTTGATCTAAAACTTGTAAGAACCATGTGTTGCTTACAAGAAAACATAAGAAAGCTAGAGTTGAAGTTGAAAATTACTTTGTATTTTTCTCTGGGCTGTCTTAATGCTTCTCCACATCATTCACATTTCTCATCATTTCTTTATTGGCTCCCAGTGTTCTTTCTCTTTCTGTTCCCAGAATAGAGTTTCCCCTGTGTTCCCTACTTCTTGTCACTCACAGAGTCACAAAAAGTATACTTCTATTCTGCTACTTGACTCCTCATTAAGAACTCCTGGCAGGAAGTTTAACCAGATTACATATATTTTAGGGGAAAGTAGCATTCTATGGTTCCTAGATGCATTTGGCAATGTCAACTTCTGACATCATTTATTCCTGAAGGTTGCCCAATCTATCTAAAATGAACACAAATTTGAAATTAAATATCCATATTTGAAATATGAAGCCTAGAATCATTAGTGAAACATGACTAACTATGGTTTAACTAAGGTTTGTCTTATAATTCATTCATTTTTCAGTCTTAATGCCTATATAATTACATTTTTTCCCTGAATTCATGGCTGTCACCTGAGACTTCTGATGATCTCATCCTCATTTAGTACTCCATCCCTTGTCCAGCCATCATTCCAAATCTCTGGCCACAGCACTAATATATATATACTTATTAAGAAGCCAATTCAGATACCCATCCATTACAGTAACTCTCAGAAATCATTCAGAAAAGACACTGTTATCTACTTAAAACAGGAATCATGGCATTTCTCAAATTGCTTTGTCACATCATATGCATAACTCTACCAACAGAAAGTTTTAGTCTGATCAGATCTATATAATAACATCCACCTGAGACTACTCACTTGGTTACATTGTTTTTAATTCCATTTCTTATTCTTTCACAATTAATTCTCCCATGTTATGGTAGAAACTGAGACTTACCTGCTGCCCTAGTATAATAAATAATTCCATATCTAACACAGCAAGCTCTGCATTCTGAAAATAGATCTGCCAACTGCTTTGTGGAGGGAGGGATTACCACATGAAAAAAGAACACTTCTCAATCACTGCAGTGGCACATGCCTGTAATCCCAGCTGCTCAGAAGCTGAGGCACAAGGATTGTGAGTTCAAAGTCAGCCTCAGCAAAAGTGAAGCCTTAAGCAACTCAGTGAAACCCTGTCTCTAAATAAAATATAAAATAGGACTGAGGATATGGCTCATTGGTCAAGTGCCCTAAGTTCAATCCCCGGTACCCCATCACCACCCTGCCTTCCCCTAAAAAGAATCCTTCTCTTTCTCTTTGTAAATACAACCATTGACATGATTCTTTCCCCTCAGAGAGCCCACAGCTCCACCTGGTGAATGGTAGCAGTCGGTGTGCAGGCAGAGTGGAGATTCTTCACCAGCATTCCTGGGGCACTGTCTGTGATGACAGTTGGGACCTGAACGATGCTCACATGGTGTGCAGACAGCTGGGCTGTGGAGAAGCCATCAATGCCTTGCTCGATGCACAATTTGGAGAGGGATCGGGGCCCATCTGGCTGACAGAGCTGGCATGCACAGGAGAGGAGGATTACTTGTGGAATTGTCCTTCCCTGGGCTGGGGAAAGAACAACTGTGATCACTCTGAAGATGCAGGAGTCATCTGCTCAGGTATGGTCAGTGCATTCTGTACTACCTAAGATAATGGAAAGTTCCAGGAAGTAGAGTCTGATTCCTTGAGGGATAGGAGAGTAATTGTCCAGAAAGGACTAAGAGGTCCCTTCCTTGAATCTGATTCAGGGATAGCAGTGAATGATGCGCTTCATTTATTCCTGTCCTGTAAAACTCTAATATTGTCTTTTTCCTTCTCAACTCTCTTACTTGACACGATATGTTTTTGTAGACCATTTCAACTTAAAATCAATCTTCATAATTTCATTTCTCTAATTTCTTATTTTTAGGATTACATATAAATTGGTACACACACTCTGTTTGTAGCACATTTTAAAGCACAGACAAGAAAGAGGCCCTACTTTTCCCAGTTAAATTGAGTGCTTGCATATGTGTAGTTAGAAATATTTTTGCACTAGATTTGTAGGTCTATGGGCACAGGGATCAAACACATAAAAAGGGAATTTATGGATTAATGGAAAGTTGAAATACTCCTTTCCAGATTCAGACATCAAAATCTTAGTTGATTAGTAGGAAGGGCCAGAGAACTGTGAGTGAAATGCTGTGAGTCACAATTTCTCCTTCCATTTCTATTTTAATAGATTCTCTCTACATTTCTTTTTCAATGAATTTCTGTATAAACTCATATTGGGAGGTAAATTTAACACTGGGATGTCAGATCAATGTTAAAAGTAGTAAAATATCAGTGCATATTTTTTATGGTATGAGATTATGTAGTTTAGGACACAGATCAAGATGGTTATTCAGCGATCTCGCACAAATACACCACATAAACAGTTTTTCACATACCAAACAGTTTGATAGGAGAAAATAAACCAGGTGTTTGAAAAGAAAATAAAGCAAATGAGTGCCTGCTTTTATGATAACAAAAAGAAAAGACACATTGAAGGAGAGAGGAAATTAAGAGTTGCTCTTTCCTTTAATCTTTGTAGCCCAGCATGAAAAAAGATACATCCTTCTTGGGGAATGAAAAGGTAATTAAGTCCAGCTGTTAGACCTGAAACTCACAACTAGGTGGATGCCCAGTAGAGCCCAACAACCCTTGTCCCCATGCCACTAACCTCAGACTGAGACTCTGGAACTATGTTTCCTTGGGCAACAAAGATACTTGTCTGCACCACCACTCCTGCAAGGTGTCTTGACAGAAGGAAAATCAAGACTCCACTTGCTAAGTTGCAGGATGCAACAACAGAAACAGGATTTTGTCTTACAGCACAAATCCTGGCCCACCATGGTGATACTCAGCACTCAGTAGGAATTAGAGGCCTTAAATATAGAAGAGCTCATATAGAGAGCAAGACCTGTGTACTAGTAGGAGAGACTCAAGAAGAGCCTGCGGCTATTTGTAGGAGTCTTGGGCCATTGATCCACCTTAGCAGTAGGCAGCTCATAGCACTAAGGACGTTGGTCCCTCTCCAGTTTTGTGTTGCCTTGGCAGGTTGTGCCCTAGTGTGTGACATAGCATTGCAGCATTGTTTGCCACAGGACCTACCACTTCATTCCTTTCCAAAGCCCCAGGGAGGATACTATGGAGAGATTGAAGTCTCTGCTTGGGGGTAAAAAGTTTGATGGGCATCCAAATTTGACCTGGATCCTTGAGCTCTTATCATTACATATTATAATATGGATCTCAAAGATGAAAGATAAAGAGTCTCAAAGAATTAAGAATAAAGACACAAAGAACACATAGGGTATCCTAATTCACCTGACAATTAACTTCCCAACAGGAAACATGTAGAACAGAGGTGAGCACCATGAGATTTTCATAGAACTGAAGAAAAAAATCTACAAATGAAAAATATAAAACACAGAAAATCTGTCTTTAATAAACAAATAAATATAAAGATATTATCAGACACCCCCCCAAAGTTACCATAAATTACAACAATCCTTAACTGAGCATATTTCCAATTCAGGCTTTTGAAGAGACCTCTGTACTCCCATGTTTATGGTAGCACTACAGACAGTAGCTAAAAAAGGAAAACAATCTAAGTGTCCATCAAATAATAAATTGATACAATGAAGTACATTTATATAATGGAATACTCTTTAGCCAAAAAAAGAAACAAAGGAATGAAATATTTTCATTTGCTGCAGCATGGATTTGAAGATCACTAGGTTAAGTAAAATAGAAGTGTGAAGAACAAAGGTCTTCTAATTTCACTATATTTCAAATCTGAAAGAGTTGACCTCATAAAAGTTTAGAGGTTTAGACTAGAATTGTGATTACCATAGCTGGGAAGTATAGGGGTTAGAAATGGAAAGCTACAGATTGATCAATCAGTTACAGGTTTTACTTAGGAACAAGAAATTCTGGTGCACCATTGTACAGGTGGTGACTATAGTTAACAAGAATGAACTTTACTTCAAAAAGTAAGAAGAGAACTTATTGGAAATTTTCACAAGGGTAAATGAATGGTGTTTGAGGAAATAAGATAACCCAACATACACATGCATCAAGAGATCTATTTACTCCATTAATAAGTATAGTATTTATGTTTAGGGTATCATTTGAATAAATTTAATTTAAGTGAAAAACGAGAAAAATGCTATAAGTGACAAGATATGGAGGAAGGTTATATAGTTTATATTTGATGGATTTAATATCACAATGTATCCCTGAAGCAAAGAATCAGACAAGGATAGATCTAACTGCAATTTTTAATTACTCTAGTGAGAATGATTCATGTGAATCAGTGAACTTCTGCAGATGCGATTTTTCTTTTTGTTTCAACCAGGTCTCTCATAAATTTCAAATAGCTTGAATTTTTTCTTCTTTTTTTTTTTTTTTTTTTTTTTTTTTTTTTTTTTTTTTTTTTTGTATGCATGAGTGTGTCTGCATTATTTCTTTGAAATTTTCACACCCAGCAACTAAAAACATTTCTGGAACATGGCAAATTCTGAAAGACAGTAGAATTTTGAGTTAGAAAACATGGAAGCAGACTCTCAATACTCTCTTCAAGTACCTTTCTCTTATACCAGACCTGGGTGTCTCCTTTGAAGACCCCTCTGCCCCCATTTTATCCTTTCCTGATCATACACATTTTCCCCCATTTCTGGGCCTCCATTGACCTCTCTCCTTGTCCCCTGCTCTGCCTCTAAGGGAAGATCATGCTGCCTCCTCCAGCTTTCAGAGATGACTGGGAAGCCCAAGAATACAGGGCAAGTTTGGTCTTCAAGGAAGATACTGGGATCTATGTGCACCTCTGCATTGCCTAATACCACATCTGATGGAGACATTCCTATCTACTCAGGTGACACAGTTCTGTGCCCTAAAGAGAATAATAAGTTTTTGGAGTGATGGACGATGAGACAGGTAGATGAAGAAAAAAGGCTTATGATCAAAGCCCTGGAGACTTGGTTAGATGCAGATGAGTCCCAGCTATAGGTGAAGTGGAGGAGGCAATCTTTGTCTTAATGGAAGAAACAAAGGTGTGGTCTTGATGAAAGATGTTGAAAATCAACCTGGCCACCCTGCCTCTTTTGTTTACCTGGATAAATTTGAACCCAAAAGTTCTAATAGTGATGGAGAGTGAGAGAGGCCATTTCCAGATGTGGAAAGAGCCCTAATTTCCTAAAATATGCAATGCAGAGAATTAGGGATTTCCCTGGAGCTTGTGCAGGTACAAAAGAGTAGTTTCCTGAAGACCAGGTTTCTACAAGACCTAATGGGTCTTGACTGAGTATTTTTGCAAATGAGTCCAGTTTGCGAAGTGGAGGTCACCTCTGTGAAAAAAAGAGTAGAAATGAGGCACCAAGGAGTAAGGCACAGGATATATGCTCAATGGCATGAGCTCCTTGAGGGGGTAACAGGGGAGATCAAGAAGGGAGGGAGTTGAAGTGAGAGGAACTATCATTGAGAGGCATAATTGAGGTCACAGTGGGCCTGGATGCTACCATATATCTTATCTTGAGGTCTATTTTATTTATTTATGTATTTGTTTGTTTCTTTGTTTATTGTGCTGGCGATTGAACCCAGGGCCTTGTGCATGTGAGGCAAGCACTCTACCAACTGAGCTATATCCCCAGCCTCATATGTCTAATCTCTAACAAGTCACTAAATCTTTCCAAGTTTTGTCTTCTCTGTCAAGACATAAATACAGAATACATGAGCATCTTCAATAGTAGTATATCATTCTTAGAAATGTTTTAACACATTTAACACTATCAACAGCTTTTATCACTGGGGAGCTTTAAACTTAGCTATAAATAAAGGAAGTTATGTTGAGGTATTTAGGGTCCTGGAGAATTCAGATAGAGAGGTTTAGGAAGGGTAATTGAGACTGAAAATGGATTTAGAATAAATATCATAGTATCTCACTTATTTATAAAGGAAGCACCTACACCCAGACCTTGCCTGGTAGCTGCCTATCTGTCTGTCCCTATAAGAGAAGCCACATAAAAAATTCATTTGCTTCCATGTGCTAAACACATACTCTGCACCTTCAGTTGTCTTTACTGCCAATCCTTCAAGTTTGTTAGTCCACAGAGAAGCACTATTTATTTATTTATTTATTTAGGTTGGTCACTGTGAGCCTTGATGCATTCTTTTTTTGGAGTGAAGCACAAGTGTGTCTCTATATCTTCTGATCTATGATATAAAAAACAGAATTTGTTCTCTAGTGTGCAAGAAGTAGATGTCAAATCTTAATATTTTGAAGTTGCTTTTAATTTTTGCTGCGTTGGCCCTTTGGAGTTTGTATGGGATTTGGTTAATTGTATTAGTTATCTATTCAGTGGTTATTGATAAAATTGTTCTTTTTCTGCTATTTCTCCTACATAAAAATAAGTTCTGATATCTTTCAGGTGAGATTAGAAGGACACATTTCCTTTAAAAGACAAAAAGCTGGAGAGTACCCTTCAGTGTCAGCCAAGTCTTCACCCTTAAAATTCATCACCTGTCCTCAGCTGAGTCAGGCACAATTTGAGTGAGGACCTCAAGTTTTTCAGGCTCTGTTGTGTCCCTCCTGTGGAGAAAT